ATATATAAATAAAAATATTTTGCACTTTTTTACTATATTTACTATATATTTTTTTTATATAATAAAGAAAGACAGTATAAAAAAGATACAATGCATTCCCTTCAAATAAAATTAAATAACTAACAACAAGATGCTGTTTGTGAGAATATATTATCTAAAACCAATAAACATAACAGTTGAATTATACATATTCTAATTGGAGACGATAATGCCTCGGGTACTTCAATGTATATCTTGTGTTACCTTTGAAATGGTAGTGCTGCTAAGTTATCCCATGGTTACATAAGGGTGATGTAGCTAAATATATCTGAAATAAGGTGATACGCAAAAGTTATTCTGAGATATGTCTTTCATACCCATCTTTGCAGTCAACAATATTATTTTATAATAGCCCTATGCAGCACACATAATAGCGCACACCTGAAGTTATACATGCAGTCACTGTGTAATATCTATTCTCATATACATGAAATAAAGTTGGGGTGATGCAAAAAATACTATGTAATGAGAAATAGGAAAACCATTTACTTTTGTAGAAGCAAACATTAGAATATTTATGAGAAGTAGAATGACTTCTGGCAAAGTTAACTATGCTAGTTATGTCATTCCCTGTTTGCAAATATTATTTGAACTTAAACATGATGTACTTGCTTTTTATATGATGGCAGTAAGTAATACATTTACAGTGGAAAAAAATAGAAGTAATAATAAAATGTGATTTAGGATGATGACTTTTTATGAAAATTAGTTCTTGTAAGGTAACAGTATTTTAATCATTACAGCATTAAAATCCATCAATGGGGCTCAAAATAGAGAGACCCAGATTTATAATTGTAAGGATAAGGTTTGAGGTCAGTGGACCCCCAAACTGAATGAGGAGAATGGGAAAGTAGTGTTGCACATAGTGTCATTTTTTATAAAAATTTGTAAGTCTGTAAATAATTATTTAGATTGAAATGTGTTGTGTCACAGCCAGGGACAGCAATTTTCAATAAGCCACACTCCTCTAACCCCCCACAGAACACAGATATAAAAACAAATAGATCAATGGAATGCACCTCCACAACCTATAATGAACTCAATCAAAGTGAATAAACAAACCATTGTTCAGGGCCATAAATCCTGCTTAGCTAGATTCTATACAGCTGTCAATGAGCAGTCGTAAATAGCTAATTGGATGTCATTAGCAGGTTATCTGGAAGTCAGAGCACTGATAAGAAGAGACCTTCAATTAATATGTCTTAATTGGGGGTTGTAACTTCCATTAAGCAGAACTGGTTAATGGCTATTGTAGTATGTATTAAAACATTCCTTGGTATGTTGTTTTCACAACTGTCCATCATAAAACCATTTAGAAACAATCCACATTTCTGCCTGTGAATTTATCACTGCAGAGCCAAAATGTACCTATATTTCATAAAACCTGATATGATTAAGTAACACTAATAACAAGCATCCACCAAACATAGAAGAGGACTCCAATGATTTTTGGACAAAGTCCTTTGGCGGTTTAATTCTGGATTCCTCAGGGATCAGAAAAGATGGCTCGCTCTACAACTCCACAGCTCTCAATTTTCCTTCTAAACTGTGCAAGAATCCTGAGTGATCTCTGAGGGCCAGCGACTCTGTCTTAACTAAAGACCATGCAAACCTTTTAAGTACTTTTAATCCCATTTATTTTTCTGTTACTTTTTTCTGTGTTTCTAATATATTTTCTTTTAATACTTTTCTTGCACCATTATTCTTTTCCACTTTTCCACTTATTCTTTTCCACTTTATTAAAAAAACAATATTGTTTTATGAACTCTTTATTCTTATTTAATACAATTACACATGAACAAATACATTACAAAACCAGTTTTAACACTACAAAAAAAATTACATTAGCCTATCAAAAATCATCCCCTATGAAGGGGAAGAAAAACAACAAAGGAAGAAAAAAAAAGAAAAAAGGGATAGGCCCCCCCCCCCTTTAATTTATTATTATTCACCATCCCTATCCTTGTGTCAAGTATGATTGTGTAACATGTCCCTATAGGGGTTTATATTTGTTTATTTATTCTATTATATATGTAAATCATTGTGGAAATAAAAAAAAGTAAAAAAATTAAATTAAAAAAAAACCAGCATGAATATGTGTAGAAATTATTAGATCGTTAATATCTTCCATATTATTAAATGTGTTATTCCCCATATATTAACCTAATTGTGTAGGGAAAGAAAAAAAACCTAATTATATCTTTTACTACTACTGTACCTCCAGGAGTCTATTACTACTCTCTCAAGAGAAATATCCGATTAGTTCCTCTATTACTCCCATCTCCTTAACTCTCCAAGTTTACAATTCCCGCCGCCTGAACTCTGACCCACAGCTTTCTTATCTGATATCTACCAAATCAGCTTGCAGAAATTACTTTCACATGTGAGTTTTTAAAATTACTCCACTTATCCCAAGTTCCTAAGTACGACACATGAAAGTTTTTCTGAATGGCTGTAAGCTCCTCCATTTTACTGTAATCAGTGGCGTAACAATCGCCATAGCGACCCAGGCGGCCGCTATGGGGCCCGTGCACGGGGGGCCCGGCATCCCTCTGATGCCATGTGGGCCGCCTGGGTCGCTATGGCGTCTCGTGTGCTGGCTGTCACTGACATAGCTTAGCAGCTGCTGTGAAGGAGAATGTTCCCCCTCACAGCCGCTGCAGAGCTGTGTCAGTGACAGCCAGCAGATGCGGCAGAATAGGCCGGTTACACCAGCATTTTCAGTAAGGAAGGAGGCGGGGCCCGCCTAAAAGCAACCCCGCCTCCTCTCACATCACTGGCCAGCGATCTAAGAGCAGGTGGGGCCAGTGATGTAAGAGGAGGCGAGGCCCGTCGATAGAAGGAGGCAGAGCCCGGGAACGGAAGAGGAGGCAGGGGCCCAGCGGCAGCGACCACGGAGGTGACAGGTAAGAGGCGTACAGCGCAACTGAGACCTTGCAGAGCCCACCATAGAGAGTATATGGTGGGCTCTGCAAGTGGCATAACTAGCAATCACGGGGCCCCATACAAAATTTTTCTATGGGGCCCTGTGATTTCTAGTTATGCCCCTGACTGTAATGATCAATTATTTGGAACCATGAGTGAATACGTGGTTCTGATCTAGAAATATTCACCTTCCCCACGTTCAACAGAAATTGCAAGCGAGATCTCCTATATTTTCCAACTGGGCGTTCCGTACAATGGAATAGACAGGTCCATATTTCTAGGGGCACCACATGCTCAGTTATGTCAAGTATATAATCAATTACCCTCTGCCTTAACCTTTAATAATTGGCCAAGACTACCATATAAGTTCTAATGTACCCTCTAAACCACAATTCCTCCAACACTTCTTTGAGTAGTCCTTATAAACTTTCTCCAACCAAATACCATCTTGCTAGCAATTTATAATTGCTCTGCTCAAATAAAAAACGATATTTAAAAAATTTTAAGCATCATCTCCAATGCTTTCAATCCAAACTAATTGATTTCTTTGAAGAACAATATCATATTTTAAATCCTGTTATAATTCTGTCTGGAATAACAGTAAGTGTCAAAGACATTTGTTAAGGTCAGAATTATCACAGCAGTTGCTGTGAATGGTGCACGTTTCTGTTGAAACACGTGGTGGCAGCTATTGTTTGTGTGGATAAAGTGTTAAGTGTGGAGTTAACCGACCCCAGTGATGATCACTCTTTGTCTGCTAGCACCTAGACTGTTGTCCCATAAGCTGGAAATTCCCTGTGCAGGCTGAGGCTGAGAGTGCCGTTGTCACATAAATGTCACAGTTACTTATCTACAAACTGTTCCAAGTTGAATCTATTTATAATTTAAGTTCCATACAATGCTTTCTGTAACATTAAACTTATATGTAGTGTACAGACAAGGTAATGCTAGACCATGTCAGTGGTGAATGGGTCTGTGGCAGCTTGACCAATGGACGGTCTTTGAAATGTGTGTCCCTTCAACCACGTGAAGATTGTAGAGGTGGGTGAGGAATGCAGTTGAAAGATGATGATCTTTTTATTACTGTATAAGGTAAAACATAGAGAGCACCTTTTAGGGGAATTGTGGTCATACCCTTCTTCAGGGTGATCCTGCCCTGAAAAAGTGGGAGCCACTAACCCCCAAAATGTCATACAATAATAAAATGATCATCATCCTTCAACTGGCTGGAGTGTTTAAGCTGTTGTATTTACACATAGCGCTCCTCACTTACCTCCAAAATCTTCGATAAACTTATGTCAGAATCCGTACCTGTAAAAACTAAAGCAGAAACAAAATCTCGAACATATGTATGTGTATGTATGCAATCTCCTTTTTTACATACTTTAGCTCCTTTAATACCAAGAGTGAAAGCTTCAGCGTGCTGCTTGCCCCATGTAACTCTGTGCACGATCATAGGAATGCAGCTAGCACCTTGACCTGCTTAAAGGTAGTGGGCTTATTGCTGTGGAAAGCAAGAGAGAAGCAAGCTATAGGATCAGACTACTAAACACTGCTGTGTCCTAACCTCCACTTCCCATACTGTGCTCACTTGCCACTGCACTCTCATACTACTCAACTTTTAAGCAGCTAAGTGCTGAACTTTGGATAATGTAGGGAGGGGTGGGAACAACAGAGTGGGTGGTACTTGCCAAGGAGAGGATCTTTGCCTCTCTGAATGAACTAGCTATGGCAGTGCTCATGTAAAAGCTGCCTAAAGATAGAGCACCAGAGGGGGCATTGATGGGGCCAGTCATCTAGGGCATACAAAGCTGGCTGGAAAGTCTGGTCCCCTGTACAGAAAGTTAGTTCCAATAAATGTGCCAAGGCTGTATTATACCCAGGAATTAAGTCTACAGCATCAAGCTGCATATGAAACACTGGATGAGTTTTGCTAAGGAAGGTAAATCAGACATCAGGCATTTTATTAACTTAAAGGGTTATTAAACCCTCCGTTTTTTTGCAGATGATGTAGTCCTTATACTCTCTCGCCCACTAACATCTCTTCCCGCTGTAAGACACCTTCTAGACCGATTTAGCGAAGTCTCATATTACAAGGTCAACAACACAAAATCCCACCTCCTAGACCTCAATATTTCCCCCTCTTTACAAGCAGCTTACCCCTATGCTTGGGCGAATTCATCCATCACTTATCTTGGCATTCAACTACCAGCCTCATCAATGAAACTATATGACTACAACTACAAACCGCTTCTCCAAACCATACCTAAAGACCTGGCCTCCCTCTCCAAATTTTACCTTACAGTATGTGGTAGAGTAGCAGCATTTAAAATGTTAATCCTTCCCAAAATACTCTATATCTTTCGAACTCTTCCCATAATTCCCCCCACCTCTTTTTTTACCCACATGCAAAAACGAATCCTCTGTTTCGTATGGCATAATAAGAAACCTAGATGTTCTGCACAAATCCTCTATAAACATAAATCCATGGGAGGGCTCGCCCTTCCTAACCTCGCTAAGTACCACGCAGCTACAATCCTAGCCCAAGTTCAACACTGGTGCCAAAATACACAAGACAAACTGTGGGCTCAAATGGAACTTTCCCTACTGTCTTGTACCTCTGCTGTGAACCTCCTACTGTCGCTTAATGCAACTCCAATCCCTCTTTCCTCGCCCTTTCCGACTATAAAATCCACACTCACGACGTGGAAATCTGTCCACACATTTCCCACTCCACTGAGACACTGGAGAAAATCCAGGATTTATTTCATACAAGACCTTTATATTCAGAAAACGCTTAAATCTATGCCTACCCTGTGCGAGCAATATAACCTCCCCAAACGTGAAACATACCGATATCTACAGGTGTCACATCTCCTGACTTCGCGTCTGATACCACTAACTATACCAATTGATGCCAACCTCCATAAATTCTTATTTAGCTCCACCCCTATCAAAGGAGGTATCTCTACATTCTATGCCCTCTTAGGTCTCTATAATCATTTTCAAAAAAACCTCTCCCATTATCAAATGTGAACAGGAACTTGGTACCTCCTTCTCAGATACCCAATGGATACTGACACTTCAAGCATCGCACAGGGCATCCCACCGCTCTAACCATTGGGAACTTTTCCAAAAAATTATCCATAGATGGTATCATACCCCTTACAAATTATCCAAATTCTCTGCCTCCTATTCACCACTGTGCTGGAGACTGTGCGGCTGCATTGGTTCAATTTCTGACATCTTTTGGCACTGCAGGTCCCTCTGTGTGTTCTGGAATGGAGTTTTCCGTATTATCTCCCATTTTTCCCCCTCACCTCTCTCTCCATCCCCAGAACTCGTCCTACTGCATATCAATATTGATAGTTTCCCACCGGCAACTCGCACTATTGTTGTGCATATTCTCTAGGCAGCTAAATTGTTGATTACCTGTAGATGGTTACAAACAACTCCTCCTAACATCATTGGCCTGATTTCATTAGTTAACACCCAATATTCCTATGAAAATATGTTTGCCATGAAAAATAACTCACATCCTATAGTCCTCTCAGCTTGGAGAAAATGGATTGTACATCTATACTGCATTGTTTGATCTCTAATATTGCCTGACGCATAATTGGTCCATACCTTGTCTTCCCTCCTTCCTCCCCTCCTTTCCACTTGTTTTGTCATCCTCCCCTTCCTCCTAACCTCCCTATGAATGGAAATTATATTGTGATATTCTCCATTGCAAAGCATACTGTATCCTGAATGTTAATTCTGACTGGTTGATGTTTTCCACACCTTTAAGTTGGTTATGTTATATGCATTTTGTTATGTATGCTTCACTTGACTTCAATAAAGAACTATTGAAAGTAAAAAAAAAAAACCCTCTGTTTTGTTTTTTTTTGCATATATCTATGCAAAAAGTGTAAAATAAACCAAACATACCGCTTTTAAAAGGGCTAATACTTACCTGTGTCTTCCCTGCGCGCTCCCGTCCGAAAATGTGAAAATTCTCGAGCGGGAGCTTGCGCAGTTCACATTTTCAGCCGGGACGCGAGGAGAAACACAAGGTAAGTCTATGGACGCGTGCACCCGCATGCAGACACTGTGGGACAGAAGTGCCAGCAAGCTCAGAGGAGTCAGCGCTGGATCGGAGACCCGCCGGAGCGTAGGAGGGACAGATGAAAAGGACAGGAAAGAAGAAGAAGATCGGATTAAGAAGCATCATTTAAGGTAAGTGCTTTAATTAACATTGGGGGAAGGGAAAAAGATTTTTGACTTTTATGTCACTAAGCACAAGTAATGTGCATGTGAGCAGCATGGAGTGCAATCTGATGGAAACAGAATACATAAGTCCGAAGTGAATATTAGCCAAGATTTGGCAAGGTGTTAAACTCCATAGTTCAAAATTGTTCATTGATGCACAGGAATAAATAATACAATTAATGAATACAATAATTAAATACAATTAATAAATTCATGTGTAAAATATCGGACAGACATTAACGGTGAGCTTCTAATTTTTAGTTTTCAAAGCAAGATTATTATTTCTAGACATTCGGACGAATTTTTGGAAATTCGGACATTCGGATGTATCCGAATTCCGAATTACAGACATAACGAATGCAAACGAATCCGAATTTCCATTTCCGAAATTCGGTTGCGGTAGTTCGAACGTTCGTTTTGTTTTCTGTTCTTATTCGTTTCTTATTCGTTTCATATTCGTTTCGTTCGTCTGAGCAAAGTGACATTAGAGAAGGAGAAAAATATTTTCCCCCCCTCAAATGTCACTTTGCTGCAAACGAACGAACGAAACGAATAAGAAACGAATAAGAACAGAAAACGAAACGAACTTTCGGAATACCGCTACCGAATTTCGTCCAATTCCGAATCCGAATTGACTTTCACACCCGAATCCTGAAAAACAAAATAACACAAATCCGAATTTAAAACGAAACGAAACTAAACAAATTTTTTGGCAGTGCACATGTCTAATTATTTCCTAACATACACACGTTTCAATATAGCACAAGCCAAGGTGCTCCAAAAATGTAATCAGTATATCTAAATATATTTTAAAACCCACTCTTTCGCTGGCACCAACATAAGGCTTATGGCGGAACGCAACTATTTCCAGCTGGCCAGCTCAGTAAGCCTTACATTGGTGGCTTTCTCCCTTCTGCTATAAGCTCATGGTTGCTTTAGTGACCATGAACTTATATCAGAAGGGTCCCCCCAACTGTCCCCTGTTAAATAATAGCTGTCATCAGTCGCTAATTTACAGTTTTGCATTACCTAATTTTTTTACCAGGCGCAATTTAAAATATTTGCTATTTATTGACTCACTACAGTTTTATCTTTTAGATTTAGTCAGAAAAGTATTTTTTTGTGCACTGATACTGATTTTAGTGTGCTTTTATCCATGTAATTGTGTATTTTTATTGTTTAATATTGATTTGACAAACATTTGCATGATTATCACAGGACCTACAAAATTTGTAGCACCATCTTTTTATTCTACTGGGCCTTTGCTTTCAGAAAATATATGGTTTAAGGGGTCTTTTACAAACGCTAGCGACACAGCAATAGAACATGAAAACAATTTGAAAAATTGCAAAAATGGTGTGGCCAGCTGTGGTGCTAAGCGTTCAGGAGGGCTTGGCAGTGAAAAGGTTAAAGCTGGACTGAAGTCTTCTTGTAAATGTCATGTACTAGAGCTGTAATGGCGGTGTTTTTTTTCTTTCTGAAAAGTGTTGTCATAGTAATCTTTACCTATTACAGGCTTCAGTTTTTGCTCATGCCAAGCTGTCTACAGAGACTGGAGAATGTGTGTTTTACAGAGTCATTACCCTGGTCCAACCACCCGGTTACACACACTACATGGTCTAGAAATTTAACTTTGCTGTGGATGGGAGATGGAGGGCATGCCATTGACTACACAGTTCTAATTTACAATGGCTTCTGTATACAGTGGGCAAAGATACCCCCTTGCTGACCTGCATAGGCTGTCGACAGGGGAAACTGCAAATTATTTCAAATACAAAACCTTGAAATTCACAACTAATAAATATATTTCAAAATAAAACTTTGAATGAAAAATATACTGCTAATGGCTTGGATATGTATCACCTTTAATTAACTACACAGTACATTCCGTAATAAAGCACTGCTTAGCGTTGGCATCAGTATTCACCAATCATGATGCATTAGTAAAAGCATGGCATCTGAGATAATTAAACCAACCCAGACAAATTGAGGTGCTCCCAAGACCAGAGTTTCCCAATATTTTTTTCAGCCATGGCACCCTTTAAAAGTATGCAAAATCTTGAGACAATCCAAGGCAAAATTTAAAACCATAAATGTAAAAAAAAACAATGTCTGGTCTCTCTAAAATCCATACCAGACCGTTATTGAATCTAGGGATCCGGTATGGATTTTAAGGGGAACCCAAACAAAAACACAAAAGAAGTGAGGTCCCCCCTTCACATCATTGTTCTTATCATAATCTTCCTTTCACATCAGAGTCCTCCTTGACATCAGGAGCCTCTCCTTCACATTAGGGGGCCGCTGCATATCAGGAGCCCCTTCCTTTCACATAATAGTCGCCACCTCTCACAGAAGGAGCCCCTTCACATCAGAAGCCCCCCCCCCCCTTTACAACAGGAGTCCCTCTTCACATCAAAGGCATGATGCTGTGTGAAAATGTTGAGGCACCCATGAAGATGCCAGGAGGTGCCCCCGGGGGCTGCAGCAGCCTGGTTGTGAAATGCTGCCCTAGGCTACCCTATTTCAGTTTTTCTCACAATAATTAGCTTTAGTAGTAACCAGCTTGTGTGTGTGTGGTATAATTGGCACATATTGTATCTAGCCTTATGTATTATTTGGCCCATCTAATAACGTCGGGAGCCAATGAGCAGTACAAAGCTCCATCGGTGTTAACTTGGACAAATAGGTCTAAATGGACCAATCCCTGTCCCAGATCTATCTGATACCCAAACGAGTAAACTGGATATTTAAAAGGCTGCACACTTCCACTTATTGTTATGCATAGAGATAAATGTCAGTTTTCTCATATATTAAAATTAAACTCCACAATAGACAAGCATGTAAACTAGGGGTTATGCTATGGCTTTTTTCAATGGATCTGCTCT